ATTTCCCTTCTAGAATACTTTGTCCAAAAGGATAACCATCCCAAAAATGACCAAATTACCCCCTATACATATACATGCTACTGAACCAAAAGCAACCCAAACCCAACACACTCTCTTTCTCCTCTCCCCTCTTCCATCTGATTAGGGTTTCATCCTCTATTCTCTTATTTGCTCTCTCTGGCAGTGATAGAGACTGCAGCGAGACAATTTGAGGTGATCGATAAGTCAAACAACGACTTCGACCTTCGGTGAGACAATTTGAAGCAATTGATCTGAGACTATCACCGCCACTGTCGTCGTCACCTATTACAAGCGTCACCGCTGCTCCTCCCACCTTCGCTGTTCCATTTCGTTGAAGTCAAGGCATTCAGTTCTTTGAGATTGTGGCAGACTCTAGATCAGGATCTTTTAGATTTGGAGCTTGACGGAGTTAGAGAAGGGAGAGAGATACCAAATATGTCTTCGCTCAGGCTTTGGTAGCATCACCGACGAAGTCTCAAGACCGTTCATGTAAGATAGACTTAACAATGGCAATGTATCAGAGTTCCCATGAGGGTGCTTATCACGCATGAATATACAATCCATAAGAGAAAAATAAAGAGAGAATTCAAGTGAAATGAACCGATGTTATGTCCATATATTTATAGCATATATGGTGGCTTTTGATCAATGGTTATAACCATTGAAATTGAATCATCAAACTCAATGGTCACCATGTTTCCAAACATTGTGACTCTTCATTCAAAATTGAAACTTCCAGTTGCTTCTTCCTGCGGGAAGGTATACATCACCATATAAAACTCTGATTCGATGTAAGAGGGTCCACCATATTATGGTGTGATCACCTCTCATACCTTTATCTCCCACTTGATCACATTATAATATTGGCGATAAAACTTGAGGTTGGGCATGTTTACTTTGGTACCAAAATTTTGCTTCATGCCAACTTTCATCTATGAATTTACCACATAGATCAACGTCTGATTGTGACTTGGCCATATGTGCGCACGTTTTTTCCATCAATCTGACCGCATTTGTACAAATGTGTTTCCCCGCTGTTAACACATTCTAAATGTCTTCAATTCACTGTAATAACCTGACCCTCATACATGTTCTCTGTTATGTTTTCGGATCCTCTTTTATGATTTCGAATGCTTATTGTGAAATCCTATAAGGAATTAAAGTTAAGTAAGTGAACCATACGTTTAAAGGAAGTCTATCTGTTTAACAAGAAAAGTATCTGTTACATTAGAAGGTTTGAGTCGAAATTGGAGGCCTTACGGGCTTAATTATCTGAAATTGATTTTATATATGTGAACAGCATACTTTTTGGGTAATATTAGGCATTTTTGGGAAATTTCAATTTCGGATGTTTAAAGGATTACTTTTTGTCCTTATTCAATCAATATATCTATATATATCTATAAGCTTCTCATAGAGCTAAAGACTTAAGACCTACCTCATAAAATGTTCTCTGGGTATTCTCTGGGAGTAAAGTGTTGAGAGGAAGAACAAGGAAGCCTTGAGAGGGATTGAAGCTAAGGTAAGTTCATTTTCCCCTAATCCAATCCTCTTCCCCAAGATGAAATAGGAAGTTTTGATATAGAATGATCTAAATTGTGATGGAGGTCTTGTGTGTGTGTGTGTGTGTTGAAATTTTGGTATGTTAATCCTATCATCATGTGTTTCCTTCATTATCAAGTTGGTATTCATTATTATGAGCATGATTTTGTGTATCTATGTTATGTTATGTGCATGTGAAGCTAAGAACCTCAAGACATGGAAGTGTGTTTATGAGTTTCAACTTTTGGTCCATTGAATTGAGTTATGTGCATGGATTTAATTCAAACTAGAGTGTTGTATATTGTACCTTAAATTTCATGCTTTTTGAACCATAATTTGGCAATGAAAAGATCCATTTTAGAGTCTTGCAAACACTCCCAAAAGAATGGGATTTTGATGCAAATTTCGGACCAAAACAGGGGAATCGCCGCACGTGCGGGAGTCACTGCCGCACGTGCGGCAAATGCTGAAAATTTTGGGTTTGGTTCTACTTAAAAGGCACATGCAGGGGTATTCTACCGCACGTGCGGGGGAGTTTGCCGCACGTGCAGGGCTCACAGCCGCACGTGCGACCCATGCTGAAAAATGTGGATCGCTCCGTTTTGCGTGTAGAACCCTCTAATGTTGTCGGAATATGTATTTGATGCCTTTTAATATGTATAAATTCCTTCGAAGTAAAACGAAACAGAAAATAATTTGATATGGAAAGGAAACTAAATTGTAAAGGTTGAATGTGTGCAGGGCACACTCCGGGAGGAACAAGCACATCATCACAACACTATGAGTAGTAGTATCATCATCCGCTTTACATATGACTAATGGTTTTCATTAGCATTTTGTTTACGCAACTATGTTAATGTTTCAAGTATGTATGTTAATGTTTCACGTATGTTTCAAGTATGTAAAGAAAGAAATGGGAAAGATAAAATACCTTCCTTCTATAAGACTCTGGGCCTACGGCCATTCAATATAAGTTGTTATGATATGAAACAAAGTGCTACACAGAACTAAGTGCTACAACGTGAGCCACCTCTAGAATCCGTGTGAGACACCTCTTGAGTTCGTGTAAGCATATTCAAGGGCTTTATGCCATCATGTTCAAGGGCTTTATGCCGTCATGTTTAAGGGCTTTATGCCATCATGTTCAAGGGCATTATGCCGCCACGTTTAAGGGCTTTACGCCATCATATTCAAGGGCATTATGCCACCATGTTCACGGGCTTTAAGCCGTTATGATTTAAGATGTGATGTTTCAAGCTTTTATGTTCAAGTCTGGGCCTAAGGCCGTTATGAAATGAATACAGAATCAGGCTAACCATGTGATCTCTGCACTTCCATACGTATTGATATATGTCATGTTTCAAGTTAAGCATTGTTTCATTTAAATATTACTATTCACTGAGCCTGCCTCACTCTCTATATGTCTGTTTCTGTAGGTAACCAACCAGGTAGTCAGTTCTAACCCATGACGCCCGGTTTCTTTTGTCAACCTTCGTGTATCCAGGCACTTACGAAGCCACTTATTTTTTGAAGTTTATTAAGATAATTGGCTTACTTCTTGACCATCCTTCCAAGCTTGAATGTATATAACTTCAACAGTTTTGTACATGCCCGATTATAGGGCTGGGTCTGTATATGTGTTTGTGTATAAGTACTTGTACGGGGAGCAAATATTCCGGCGTGCCCGTATTCCTTTCTTCCGAGCTCCGTCGATGTCCGATCACCTGCGAGCAAGTAATGATGAGCTACTCGGCGGTGTGTGGCCGGAAAAACCCTCCGACGGTCAAGTTAGCACACACCTTAGAGGGAATAGAGAGAAGGGAGAGAGTGTTTTAGTGTAAGGATTTCTTACAGATATGTTCGTGTGTCGCGTATGGGGGGCGCAGACATGCTTATATACCTTCTGAGCCCCATATCCACTCCCTGTCATCTCCTGACACGTGGCTCTGCTATCCCATCTGTCAGCATAAACCATGCCATTCATCACCTGCTCTCAACTGCCTGTCAGCACAGCTGGAGCTCGGCAGCCGAGCTGCCCTTCCTCGGTCATACCATGCTTCATACCTCAAGCGCCTAACCGGATAGACACACGGAGGACCGGGCTAAGCGGCATCCCGGCCGAGCCTAGCCCGGATACTTCGATCGGCCTTCCTGCCGACCATACAGTCTCCTCGGCTGACCATGCCTTTCCGGGCACCGGCCACTCAACTTCCTCGGTTGTCCATGCCTTCCTGGGCGCCGGTCACTCGGTCAATCCGGCTTTGGCCATCCTCGGACCGGGCACCCTGGTCCGACCGAGCACTGCCTTACCGAGCAGTTTCTGTCCGGTCCGGGGTGACACTCAGCCCGTACTCTGCCCGGCCCAAATTCTGGCAGCCCACTTTGGGTAAAAAGTCGATCGTCTCGGACCTATGCACCGTTGGGCCCTCAACTTGCTCGGTCGATATCTCGGCCCAACTCCAGATCATAAATTACCCTCTCAATTGCCCCTTAATTCCGTCCGCGGAAGCGTGACTGGGATTACCCACTTCGACCGAGATAACATTTATCCGGTCGTCAAGACGCCAAGCCTTCATCGAGCTAATCTGCTATCCTTCCCCGGTCATGTTCCTCGGCTTAAAGCCTTTTCGTCGAAAGTAGCTCGGCTGGCTCTTCGTCTCTTCATCCCGTCGCTTCAATCCTGACGTAGCCATAAATGGGGACACGTGGCGAGCTCCCATTGGTCATCGAGAAGCCAACCCGCCGTTCTTGTCAGATTTTTGAATTTGGGCGGCCTTTCACCCTTACATATACATCATCCTCCTCAAGCCATTTTTTTCCTACTGCCTTTATACTACCTGACGATCCAGAGCTCAAGCCCTCTCCTCTATCTCGACTGCCATTTCTCATTCTTGGAAGAACTGCCCCCAACCTCCAAAGGTAAGGTTTTCGATCCCCCTAGTTGCTATTTTCTTTCATTTTACACACATTAGGGCATAAAAACATAGCATTTAGGGCAAAGGCCATGGAATCCGTCCCAAACGCCCCAACTGTTCTTGGTGTTCTTCGTCTTCCTGAAGAACACTGAAGAACTGGGGTGAACCGGGCTTGGGGCCTTCTTTTGATCCAAAAAAAAAACCGACCAAACCGGGATAACAACATGTTTGTTTCAACCAAGGCGAAAACCGAGATAACAAAAAGGACTTGGCCGTTCAACCGGGCTAACATCTGGTCCGCTTGGGCGACCGGGCTCCTTAGATAGAATAGACAACCGAGGTGGTTTGGCACACTTAATGACCGAGCTAAATCCAGCACCTTCGCGCGACCGCGCTAACACTTGCCATCTTTTTCCTGCAGAGTCCAAGGGGACCACTGTCATTCCTGAGGCTCTCAGGACCGGGCAACATCCAATACCCAGAGCCAAACCCCTCAGCCGGGATACATTAAGCCGGCCAAAAATGGGGAAGTTCCGCTTCCTAGTGGATACTCCGGCTGCGCTGGCTACGTTCAGGGAGGAATACGGCGTCCCGGCCGATGTCCACCTGCAACTCGCAGAAGAGGAGACCACACCTTGGGGTAGGGAGGAGTGCCCCTTCACCGTGCTATCCATCGTTGAAGGGGGTCTTCGTTTCCCGCTCAACCCTCTCATAACCGAGTTCCTCCGCCGCACCGGGCTGGCACCCACACAGGTGTCCACCAACACTTATAGAATAATCAACGGCGTACACGAATTGAACCAACGGCTAGGCACCAACTTAGGCCTAGCCGAGATATTGAGGCAATACACAATGGGCCACACCGGTGACGGCCTAGCTTACTACTTGAAAATAAGACCGGGCAAGGAAAAAATCGTAACCGGCACCCCGGACAAAGATATGCACGACGATGATTTTTTCTGGGTGACCGGCAATTACGAAACAGCCGAGGTACCGGGCTGGCGCATAAGCAAGGACTTCGGTTCTTCATGTAAGCCACTCAAACTTGCTCGGTGAACTTAATTCTTTAGTTTAACTAACCGGTTTCCCTGTTTCTTTTGCAGCTATCCAAGCCTTGCAAGCCAACTACCAATTCCCCAACGTCGAGGCAATTCGGGCCGTGCTTAGGTACCGTCACCGAGACTGCAACGAATTGCTCGGCTACACACCGACTTACAGATATTCTACTCCGCGCCGGAGTAGAGTAACCGACTTCTCCAGAGCTCCTTCGCCACCTCCAGATCCAACCCTACCAGACGTCCCATTAATCCGGTTAACCGACGAGCAAGAGATGGCCAAAAGATCTCGGATCAAAAACCTCCTAACCGCGACCTCAGCCGAGATACCGAGCGTCACCACCCGTTCCCCGGCTGCCGGTCAATCGAGTGCAGCCATCGTAGCCCTTGCTTCTCCAGCTCCAGCTGCCGGGCAATCTGCCAGAGAAGCGCGCCGGGCTGGAAAAAGACCAAGGGCAGATCCCTCCGCCGAGCTCGTCGCCGAGCTGACAACCGAACATCCAGCTGAAACTCCTGCTCCCGTGCCCGCTTGGCGTCCTCAGCTGAAGCACCGGGGACAAGACATCCCGGCGACGGCTTCAATCAAGGCTGACAAAGAACACTTGCTCGCCTTCGATCTCTCCAAAGCATTTCTCCTACCGAGCGACGTGGTAGGCAGTGACCACGTCCCTAACACCCGGCTGGTAAAATCTTCCGTGAAGTCCATGGCCAGGGTAAGTCGACGTTCTTTTTAACATTTCACAAGTGTTTGCTCGGTCCTTCTTGCTCGGTCCCCTTTCTGATGTACTTTGCTTCTTTATGCAGGCCATTCAGAAACAACATTTGGTCTTGGAGCGCATCCACCGGCTTAGGCAGAAAGCCAACGACACTGCCAGCCATGTTGAAAGCCTTCAAGCCGAGCTCGGCCGGGCTAAAGCTTCTCTCGAGATGGCCAACAATGATAATAACAGGCTGCTCGGTCAACTGAATGCAGCCGAGAAAAAACAAACCGAGCTCCAGGCCGAGGTTGACACTCTGAAGAAGGAGAAGAGGAAGGCTTGCCGGGCTGCCAACAACGCCGGGTTCAACGAGGCCGAGCAGAACTACAAGAAGCAGGTCTTTGCAACCCAAGACATCTACTTTAAGGCCGGTTGGAAGTCCGCCTGCGAACACCTCGGCCAAAGTTCTGACACCGACGTATTTGCCAACCCTCCCCCAGCTTCTCTACCGGTCTGCCTTGTGCCTTACGCAAATGACGTATTCAGCGCTCTGCAAGCGGAGGCCGAGGAGGGACTTGAAGATGGAGAGGACGACACAGATTCGGAGGCAGAGGAGGCCGAGGTGCCAGAACAGCCCGGCAGTGCTGAGCCCGGTGCCCAAGAAGCGAGCCCAACCACCAACCTTGAGACTGCCGAGGATGAATTCACCAATCTATCCCCCCTGATTTAGTTTTCTTTTCTTTGCATTTTTGCTTTCAATACTTTAGATGTAACCGGGCTCTGTCCCCACTTTTGTACTGAATTTCTTATCAATGAAAATTCAAATTTTTGCAAGTGTATGCACGGTTGTAATCAGTTCTGTCTTCAGCAAAACATCTCGGTATAACTCATCGAACCGGAATACATAACACGGTCTAAGCACTTCAAC